GTGTGTGATTCAGCCTCTTTTAGCCTTTCATTACCATTTCTTGCCATTAAATAAGTATGTTGTTTGTAATAAGTAGCAAAGCAGGTGCTCTATAACCAAAAATAAAAAAAATAATTCAACAGTTTTTTAAGCTTTCTGGAGCCTCAGTGGAAGGAGAAAAACACACCAGCAGACACTCTGTACAGACAGATAAAATAACAATAGATGAACTATGTTTTTAAGCAGTCAAACACTCGTTAAATTAATAGAAAAATGAAGAGTCTGCTTTTTTAATAAAAGTGTGTCGTGATAATTGAAATATCTGAAAGGGGCTAGGGAGCAGCAGATATAATTTTTGAGGCTGTGATGAAAGGAAAAATAATTTAAAAACATTTTAATTGTGTAGTTTAATTCCCAGCTATAGTTTAATTATTTAAATTTACACATAAAGTATAAGCTCATCAGCAGACAAGCTTACTTTAAATGTAGCAACTAATTAATTAATTTATTATTATTATTAATTTTTTAAATAAGTATTTACACTACTAGAGATTAGCTTTATGTGAAAACCTGCTGCTGCACTTTTTAAAAATGCACTAGCTCACGTGTTCATGTGATGACCTTGGTTTGATCTAACAGTTTAGCTTACACTAACACATATACATATCAGTCAGTTCAAATATAAATGTCTCAGTTTTGAATGCAGGAGTCTAGTGAGATAGATTTTAGAGTATTCCAGTAATTTGTCTGCAAATGACAGTATATGTGCTTATAGTTGGATCCGTAACTGTGCATGGTGGAGTTTGCTTAAATTTTCCTAGAAGTGAAGAAACATGTGGGTGGAACAGTTAGCACCGTTTGAGCTTCGGACCTCCCGTTTGGAGCATGCCTGATTTTCCCCCTGCAGTTTTAAAGACATACACATCAGGGTGAGTGTAAAGAGGCTATATCGGTGCACCAGATGCAGACTGATCAGGTGTTGTACTTTTATATTATTTAACCCTTGTGCCACCATTTCAACTGCTGAGTTTCACAAAGGACTGCAGAAGAGATGTGTTTGCTCTATGGATGCTTACTAAAAAAACAAATTTGATAACCAGGGAGAAAAGTAGCTGAAAAAGGTGGAAAAACAGATAAAAAACAAACAAACATCCTCAATCACCCAGATTTGTGTTGTTAGGATTCAGGTGTGGGTTTGGTGCCTTGGTTGTTTGTTTCTCTGTTTTTGCCCTTTCCCCCATGACAGCAGGGACAGAGATGGGGCAAAAAAGCAGAGAGGGTACCCCTTACTTTTTGAAGTTTTCAAACTTATGGAGAAGGTAGATGGGTGTTACCCACTGCAGTCTAATTGGCTTCTCTGGTCTCAGCTCTTTATGGACAATTAAATGAAAAATGAAGGTCCTGCATGAGCTTGATTTAAAGATGTATTTTTGTATAGACAAAGTGGATTTTAACTTTGAACCTTATAAGCCTGCATGTTAATAAAAACTGCTTTAATACAAAAAAGTCTGGAATTAAAGTGAGCTTTAGACGGGTTTAATCCCCTTTACATCTCCATAACTTAAAGAACCTCAGTTAAACCTCATATCTCACATCCACCACATGGAACACTGTTGACTCATGGCCACGTCCTTGTTCAATCTTAATGAGAAATGTCTCTGGACGTATTTTAACAGTCTGGCGTGTTTTTGGTCACGATAAGATGACAGGGGTGAGGCTCCGCGCGGTGGTATAGTGGGGAGGAAGGAGGGGGGCGGCAGTAGCCTAACGTCCATCGCTTTTCATTGTGTGTTTTATGTAATGGACCCAAGTTACCTCGCGTACTGCAGTTATTTAGTTTTCTGCATGTTTGTCCGTCATGGGAGAAGAAGGAGGGGAGAGGGGGGGTGGCGGCGAGCGAGGCTGGTCCGTATGGGAACTGGTTCAGATTAACTTTCTGCCAATCGGTGGAAACCCAACCAGGAAGAGCACGCACACATCTCACAGGCAGCGCCACTGAACGTCCCCTCTCTCTTCTCTTCGCTTCACTCCTACCCAGCTCTCCCAGTTACGGAGCTCTGCCATCGCACCAGTCCGGCTCCGTCTCTCCTCCCCTCCCCAGCCCTCCCACACCCCCACCCGCTCGCTCTTCCCCGACTATCCGTCCGTTTGTCCGTCCTTCCCCGCAGATTTGTTCGACGGTTCCCGGCTCTGCTGGAGGAAGCGTGGCGGCGAGCCGTAAGTTACCACCTCGATCTTTTTTTTAAACACATGTATTTTTTGGGGAGGGGGTGCTATCGGGCTGTGAATGTTTGAAGTTGTGTTCCGACTGCCCAGCCGTCCAGAGAAGGAGCGCAGAACCTTTTTTTTAATTATTTTTTTTTTCGCTTCGTGCACCAGAAGCGACACACGGGGCTGCTGCTGCTACGTGCCATAACCTCACAGCTCTCAGCTAGGACTGGGATCTGGAACAGCCACCGCGTCGCTGATCGGGAATCCGGTCAGAAAATGTGATCAGGAGGGGTGACTGCCCTTTATTTGTGCTTGGTGTGTGTGTTTGTGTGTTCTGGTAGCAACCCCCCCTCCACTCCCCTCCCTTCCTCAACCCGTATTTAGAGCCTGGCTGGCTACTTCAGATGGGCAGCTACGTCAGGCTGTACTGTATCCCATCATACTGTATTCCACGGCCACTGTATATAAATTTATATATATATATATATTAACGCACTTATTACAAATCTATCCAGGCATGCATATCTAGCAATCCGCCCTCGACATCCCTGCCAATGGTGTTAAAGCTCCGACTGTCTCGGAAGAAAGCCAAAACAGTAACGCAATGTTTCAGATTCTCTCAGGCTTTTATCTCTTCTTGAAACAACAACCCCCAACCCCCCCCTAAAAAAAACCCCATCATGTCAGCGCCTCGTGTTGAACCTGCCCGTCACCACCGGCCCCGACACGGAAAATGTAAAATAAGAAGCTCTCAGTCTGATCCCAGCAGCCACCTTACCCAGCTGGTTATTTATTTTTGATGGGTGCTCTGTGGGGTTTTGTGGCTCTGCCTAAAAGTTCAAGGCAAGAGCATTTTTTTTAAATAAAAGAGAGAGGTGTAATTACAGGTTTTGATGCAGGCTGATGAGCCCTTTATGAACGTGCCCAGCACAACTGTGGTAACCAAGTGATCTGCAAGGTGTGTCCTATCTGGTGTTGCCTTATTGGGCGGCTGTAATGCAATGTTTCTTTGACCGTTTTAGTGTCCTTGTTTTGACTTGAGCTTTGAGTTGCTCATCCAAAACGAGGTGATTTCTTTCCCCTGAATTTGAAGAGGCGAGAATTTTGAAGTATTTCATTGCAAAGGTGGAAAAAAGGGGGACTGTCGGAAATGTTTGGAGCGTGAGTTTTAAGAGGAGTGTAATTTTTTAAAAATTTAATTTATCCAAGAGTTAGTTTCAGGGGAAGAAGGGAAGAGTGCTTGAACTTTTCTCCTTTCCAGAATCCGGTTCTTTCATTTATTGTGCTGCAAAAATATTATTGTGCTAAAGTTAATCACTAACTGGTCTTAAATGCTTGATTATTTAGCTTTCTTTTTTAATTTAGTGCTGTATTTCCTCTGTTATGTTTGTGGTGTGTTTTTTCCAGCAGAAATTTCAGGGCATCCCCCAAAGAAGGTTTTGCTACAGCTAAGGGTGGGAAAAAAATTCAAGAACTGAAATAAAATGACTTTTTAACAGTTTTAACAATGGGCAGATTTTCAAGTGGCTGGAAATAGATTTGTGTAACACAGCGTGAACTGCCTTTAGTGCAAAAGGGTCAGTCACACTTTTTCTGGGCCAGAAAAAACAAAGATTTTTCAAGATATTGCAGGATAGTTAAATAGATGGTCACTCAAGGTTTCATTAGTTTTTTTTGTTTTTGCTTTTGCCAAGGTAACGGATACAATTTCCTCCACACACACCAATAATAAGCCAAACTGAGCTCAGCTGAATATTATTTTTATGCCTTTGCAAGCTTTTTGGTGTGGACCTCCACAACAGTCCCAGTTTGTTATGTGGCCCCTTGGGGAAAATTAATTGCCCACCCCTGTCTCAGGCCCTTAGGGATAAAAAAGTGATGCTTTGGCTAGCTTTCATAGCGCATGACAGTTATTCTCAAGTGTACACTTGAAGGGCACACTTCAGAGGCTTTTAGCATTGCCACTAACACATAAAATGCCATGTAATCCAACTATAAATATTATTCATTTATTTACACGTATAGCTAATTTGGATTTTCTATTTTAAACGCCGTAATTACTCCCAGCGCTGCTGAATTTCTGTCTGAGTTGCTTGGCAACATCAAGCCGCACAGGCTGGGGTTTGTAAGGCTGGACTAGTTGTTATAATCCTGACAAGTTTAAAGATTTTCATGAAGAGATTTTCTTAGATTGCTGTCAGTCTGTAGAACAGAACAGCGAGGCTTTCTGCTGTCCTTTTTACACTTGTACAGACTGCCCCCCCCTCACAGAAGAGATGTCTCTCTCTTCTTCTCTCACTTCCTCACTTTTACACTCTCAACTTTGGTTGTAGTTCCTCTGCCTGCGGTCTTCTCTCTCTCTCTTTTTTTTTTTTTTACCCCTTCACAGCTCAGATCCTTAGACTCGAGCTACCGGCCTCACAGCTGTAATTATTATTTAAGTCATTATTAAGGCATTTGACTTGTCAAATAATATACACAGAGAAAAGAAGGTGTTTAGTTAAACTGGTTGCTAAAAGTTAATGTTCCCAGCCAATCAGACTCCTCAGAAATCTGCTCAACATGCTCATGAATACTTTATAGCAAGCTGTGAAGCAGCAATAACCCAACATATAAATATCCTATAATAGTTATTTATTAATGATCTTATACTGTTATTGCTCTTGAAACATTTATTAACTGTTTATGCCCAGCTGTATGTATCACAGGAGCTTATACTAACAGACACTTGTATCTGTTTACAATTGCATCATATTGTTTTAGTAGTATTTAACTATTTAGTCATTGATAGTTTATGTTTACATCGAGGGTAAAGAATGGTGTTACTCCCACAGATGAGCTCCTTTTTTCTGGTCTTTCATCACACTGAGATCCACTTTGATTTTAACCTTGAGTCAGGTTGGTGTGATCTTGTGGCGAGTTATCGGATTTCACGTCGTATTCTGAAAGCTGGTCTCAGCTTTTCACCTGTGATTGGGTTTGTGTTAGGATTAACAAAGTCATACGGCGAGGCAGTTGCACTGCTTCGCATTTGTGCTCCAGGAAATTGAGAAGTGAACTTTAATGCTCAGCGTTAACACGCTTTGCTGTATGTCGTTTAGGCTTTTGTCTGCTTTGTGTTTATTAATAACGGTTGACGTTGGAGTCCAACGCATATCTCACACTTATTGACTCGATATCAGTTGTGTAGCTTGATGCTGTTTAATCATCATTACAAAAAAAGCCACCTGGTTTGCTCTTTTACACCCAGAGTCACAAGAGTCCTGAGAAATCATGCATGTCTCATCATTAAACGAAAAAAAAAAAAAGATCCTGGTGTGTTCTCTGTATAATTGCTGAGAGGATCTTATGATCTGTTTATAACCAATTAGAGATGGAGTGCCGGGTCATTGATCTCCCAGCAGATGTGAAATTACTTCCTGCGGATCACCGGACCTAACTGTGTTTAAAGAACCAAATTGCCGTTCTGCCAGAAGGCTGCTGCACAAGATAATATGAAGCAGGTTATTCCTTGCAGCGTCTCCACACCTACAACTCTCGGCAGTGACCCCACATCCGATGGAAAAATTGCAGAATCAGGATAAATGCTTTGCTTTTAATCTGGACTCGACAGATCGTTCATTCTAACAGGTTTAGTGACACTTAACAATTTTTTAAATCTTGAAAGCAAATCAAATATGAAGTAATAGCACCACCAAATTTTAGATTTGAAGTTTGTCTTTCAGGTATTGAATTTCTGGTTCAGCCAGCAAGGTAACACCATTAAACCGATTACATCTTGTCTGATAAGCTCAGCCTGAAGTAAAGCAACCTTTGGCACAGCAAAGACTGGGAAGACACGCAAACACAAGCCATATCTGAGCTTATCGCGCCCATGGTTTTTAACTTTTATCAAGACATAAAAGCTCTTTGTGAGGAGTGTAACATGGAAATGTTTTAAACTCCTCTAATGTCACATTAATCACTGAGTCAGAAAGTTGTCTTCAGTTTTCATTAGCCCTTGAGCTAAAATCGGATTTGATACTGCCAGGATCTCTTGCACGCTGGAGTGTTGGACCGCCTTGAGGCTGCGCAAGCCCAGTCAGATTGTGGCCGACAAAATCCAACATGTTAGAAGAATCTTGTCGGGTTTCTACTGTTAGCGAGTCATCTATTGGGATAGAAGTTTCTGGCCTAGAACGTTTTCGCACCGCAGAGAAATCTGCATCAACCATCAGGCCTCTCGCCGCCTCGCGCAGGCACACTCATCTGAACAGATGCCTGTTTGGCTCCATGTAGAATAAACTGGGGAAAACATTAAAAAGCTTAACTCTGATAATACTGCGGGTAACCAATAGAATCATTCTGATCTAAAGCTCATTTGGGGAAATGTTTAAACTTTAAAGCCAGTATCCTTGCACCTTTTAAAGCGAGGAGAATGGAGAGACGAGCAGCAGCTGTAAATATGCGTATCAATCGTCATTAAGGAGGATTTCATTATCCGATTATAGCTAATTATGGAAAATATGGTGTAGGACAAGAAGCTCCTGTGGGTCGGGAAAAAGAAAACCTTTATTTGATTAACAAAAAAGAACGCCCAATGATGGAAAACTTCTAATTGTGTCTTGGTTTCTTTTCCTCGCGGTGCAGAATGTGTCTGCGGGGTTATTAAATGGAGATATTGGTCTTTAAAAGTTTAACCCGGCTCATTAGGTGGTACACGATCGTGCATCTTTACCTTTTCCCCGAACACTAAAAAGGAAAAGTAATGATCTCTGTACGGGCATTATTTTAAAACGCAAACATACAGTGTGTGAGTCACTCTGCTTGTTTGTGTTGCAGTTTTACGCTGAGCGCAGGGAGCGTTTTGCGCAAACACTTTCTGGCTGATGCTAATTAGGTTTAATTGTTAAATGATTTCACGGTGGGCTTTGGGAATCATCACATATTATGTTGTATTGCAGATGGAAAGATTCTCTTTCTTTACATAACACGGGCGCTTAGAAAAGTAATGGGAAGCTGGAAACCATCCAATTTAAAACAGCTAAAAGTGTCACATTTAAATGGGCTTCAGTTTATTTGCCTTATTTTTCTCTCACTTGTACTTATTGTGGTCAAAGATGATTTTTTTTTGACATTTTCCTGCCAGACTAAACACTGCAGACTAAACAATTGGCCTTAACAAGCTGCTGCTTGCCTGCTGTGTGTACATGTGGTGATAAGGCAATGAGCACAGTGAATGAATGGCACAGTGCATCAGTTTCTCCAGTGCGACACAAACCCGTCATAATGAGAAGATCCCAGGCACACGCACAAAAGCTGCAGCTCGCCATATGATCTGATTACAAAACCGTTCAGCTGAATCTATTCATCATTAAGTTTCTTTATGTATTGAATCAGATGTTGGATTTAAATCTAGGCGGAGGGCTTATGCAAGATAGTCGGTATCTTTGTTTTGTGTGTGGCTTGTTGACTTCTGCTGGGTTTTTTGGTTCTTTTTTTTTTATATCTTGTCTAGCTTTGTCTCGTCTTAAGTTATGACTGTTGAAAACATTTGAAGTAATCTTTGGTCTCAGTGTCATCCCTACTACACAACATAACACTGCCTGGTCTGACCACGCAATGTGGCAGAACTCAAGGGCTGAAACAGATCTCTCTGGATCCAGTTAAAGTTTTTTTGGTAAATGATTTGAATTACTGTTGACAGGGAAGTCCTTTTTATATTGAGAGCTACCTCCCAATATCCACCATGTCACTAGTAACCTCTATATTGTTGGGCAAAGATAGCGTTACGGTAGCACTCGCCCTTTTGTATGGATTTTTTGCCGAAATGGAAAAGCATGTAAGGTACTGTGGAAAAGTCTTGGGCTGCCCTTAAAGAAGAGCCAGACTTCCTTGTCATTTTTTTTTAAACCTGGCCTTTCGCAAGTTTTTTTTTTTTTTTGGACATTGACTGTTTCACCACTCATTTTCAGTCCAGTCCTGACCATTTTCAGAGAAAGTTTTTGTTAGCCTCTTAACACTGACCTATGAATCATTCAAGCTTAAAAAAGACACCCTAACCCGTGTTGTGTCTACACATAACAACTTGGCAAAGAACCAATTTTAAATTGTACTTTTAGGCACTTTGTTACTAGCCGCCTATTACAGAAATGCATAATTTGTTCCCAGTAGCTGAAGTGCCAAAGATATCACAGTTTGACAGGCATAAAATTGTATTTTCAAATCAACAAGGGGATTCCCAAAGAGCTATTGGCTAAAAAGTGCAGTGTGTTTGAGGAAACTGGACAAGTGGTGGGCAAAATAAAAAGTGGCAAATGTGTCTACAGTAGACGGAGGTCGTGCCCTTAAGAAACAGGAAAGAAAGAGCTGACACAGGACCTGAGAGGTGCTTCAGTGGCCCTTCAGTTTATCCCATCTACTGTTCACTGAAGCCTCATCAGAAATGATGTCAGTGCAAGGGTAGCTGTCAAGATGCTGTTCTTAAAGGAGGGAAACAGAGAGAAGACTAAAGTTCTTGTGTCATGTTATCCAAGTGGTAACAGGTCTCACAGAGTGAGGAATCCAAATGTAAAATTTTTGGCCCAAATCAATATGTACAGAGGAGTTCAGGAGAGAGGTACAGCAGTGAGTTAACTAAAACCAGATGTGAAAAACATTTGCTAACTAAAATAAAAAATAAAAAATAGACATTTGAAAATAATTAAAACGAACTGAATTTATTCAGTGAAAAGTAACTTTAAAAAAAAGAAAAATAAAATAGAAATATCCCTAGTTTTGGTATTTGGTAGGTTGGTCAAGCTTTAATCAAAACTTGCCTTATGAGGCTTTGATGGATGTATTTATTGGAACTTTGGATTTCTGCGAAGACTGTGAGGCTTGTTTTTATTCAGTGTTTTTAATATAATACTGTTTCTGAGTTTCCTAAATCTTGCCTTTACCATATACCCTCAATACAATAATAATAACACTAAAATTAACACTGAAACTAATAGAAACTAAGCTAAAACGAAACATTGTAACACAACGAAAATTAAACTCAAATGAGGAAACTCACTCTGGGAACTAGCTGAAACTAAACCGAATTAAAAGCAAAAATCAAAACGAAATAAAAATCAAACCTAATTAGAAAATACAAACTATAATAACTGTGGTGTCTACAGGCATCAGTACACAGTGGAGTCTCTGTCATGGTTTGGGGCTGAATTTCAGCCAGTGGTTTGGGGAATTTTGTCAAAAATTTCAAAAGGAATTATGAATGTAGAAGAAGTATCATCAGATTTGAATCCACCATGCAATACCATCTGATTGGAAATGGCTTTTTTTCAGCATGACAATGATCCCAAACACACTGCCAGTGAAGTTAAAGCATACCTGGAGTGAAAAGCACATGGAACACAGCCAAACAAGAGCTTTGAACGTCCTTCAAGAAGAAGTCTGAAGAAACCATAAGAAAGCTTGCTTAAGAGAGTTTAGGTTATGTTGAAGAATAAAGGTGTTTGTACCAGATTTGTTCATGTTCGTATAAATTGTTTCACCTATTTCCAATTCTCCTGCATAATATAACAGAGGAAAGGCTTAAGACTTGCACAATACTTTATAAGACTTTGTTTAAAATATATTCTTGTTTAGAAAGTGGTTAAAATACTACGACACCCTACGACTAACCCTTACTGAGTTAAGGCCAGGGATTGGTTGAGATCTGTTGTGTAAGAGTAGAAAATCAGCACAAAAGTGGAGTTTTGACCACTTGTTCATCTCTTCTCTCTAGGCCACATAGACAAGCATGTGATGACTCACGCAAGGCAGAAGGGTTCCTTTGGGCACAACCAAAGTCCAGAGTGGTGGGACAACAGCTGCCTTTGGCCACATGGTGGTGCCATGGGCGGCGCCTGGCCTGAGCGCACACTGCGATTTGGCAGGACAAAGAAGATAAGCGAGGTCACTAAAAAAGACAGAAACATGGCCAAGAGGATGAATGACAAGAGGGAAAGAACAGAAAGATCAGAGCAGAAAAGAAAGGTGGACCGGAGGCACGTCAAGAAACGGGACAGGAAAATGTACCCTTTGCGAGGGAGGGCTGGGAATTCAGAAAGTGAAGGACTCAGTTGCCATGTCCTCCTGACCCGACTGGAGGAAAACATTCGTGAAAAGCAGAGGTCTAAGGAAAGTAAAGGAAAGGATGGCCGCGGACGATTATCTCACAAATCCAAGTCCAAAAAAAGGAAAAGCAGTGACGGAAAAGAGGAGAAGTCGTCACCAAAAAACAAATTAAAATCATGCAGTGGAAGTTATAGCAAGAGTATTCGGTTGGGAGTCTTTCAGCCACGCAAGCGGAGACTGGCTTCTCTCAATGCTGAGGCGGTAAACAGCCTGCTACTAGAAAGAGCCAGTGATCCCCAACCAGCAGCCAAACAGGCCAAGAGACAGGAGGAACCCATAAATGCAGGGGCTTTCCTGGATGCAGATCCAGTGAGAGGTGGTGTCTGCGGAGGTCTTAAGGCTTTGCGAGGGACCAACACTAAAGGCTCCACATCTCATGAACTTGAAGCGTACCAAAGCTCTAAGCCTGCCAAGAGGGCCAAAGTTAGCCGAGGGGATGAAAGTTTGGGGATGAGTCAGGAGTGCCTTGACGCTCCTGCACCCAGACGGTTGGCTGGACTTAATGCCGCAGCCCTGCTGAAGCTAACCAGTTCCTCTGCTACCAGTAAACAAAGAGCAAAGGCTGCACCCACAGCTACTGTTACTTCAGACTGCAAGGCTCCCGTCGTGGGCCCGACCCAAAAGTCGCACTCGAGGGCCAAACTTCAGCACAAGGGACGCACACAAAAGCAGAAGGGGAAAAAGATACCTCCCCTGCACAGTGGCTGCACAACTTGCAAGAAGGCAGGCTTTGAGCCAAAGGTGGAGTGGGAAACGGGTGGCTGCACCCATCGACTGACAAAACCGGGCTACCAGTCACGCAGTATGCTAGCATACCCACTGAAGAAAGTGAAAGAGGAACAGCTGGAGACTGAGCTGAGCCCGTACTACTGCTTTCCTGCAGAGCGCTCAATGGACTACTGTCACGGCTTGGCCTTCTTTTTAGGCCAGCAACCCTATGGAGAATCAGACGATCAGCCACTTAACTCAGCCATGAGCCCTGTGAAGCGCGAGTGCCTAGTAACCTCACCATCGCTGACACATTCCCTACCACACACAGCGCTCACCCTGAGCCCTCACCCCTGCCTCTGCACCGCCGACCATTGCTTCTCCAGCTATTACGTACACATCGCCCACCCCACACACACTGGAACAACTTCAGCCACCATGGCCCCGCGACCTCTTAACTTGCCCCCATCTAGTTTGTGCCCTAGCCGAATGAGCGGCTCCAAGCTGCTGGGGCAGCAGGTGTCACATACATCGGGACTAGCCCACCCCGCCTACTGCAATTCTGTGGCTTCACCCTGTTACGGTGACGCCTGCGGGATTAGTGGGTATACCTACAGAGCGATGGCTCCTGTCACCAGCAGGGGTTGCTCTTTTAGCACAGGATGCAGTGGATGCACGCACAATATCAAAACAGGTGAGTGGATTGACCCCCATGCCCCAAGATTTGGTTTCATAAATGTTCAGTATTGCTGATTATTAATTATCACCGTCTTAAGTGGTTTTCTGAGGCCACTTGAGGATTTGCTCACAATGATGGCAAGTTCTTTTGTGATAACACTTCTTTGATTTAGCTGTTTTTTAGCCTTCTTTGCCAGTATTATAAAATAAACCTTTATTCCAATAGTTAGACATAAAGCTATTACTTAAAGACTCTGAAGAGCCCTTTGTTGATAAATGATATGCCTCAAGCCAATTGTGAAATCAAGCAAGTGGAGCCTTTCTGTTTTATGTAGTCCTTTTTTGTCTTTTGCCATGAGCTTTTAAATTGCCTGCAGAATGAGGTAACTGCTTTAGATGTGTGTGGCTAAGGAGCTTTAGGCTTATTGTAAAGTTTTCGGTTACAATGTGTCATGTGTTATGTACGTAGCTAGACTGATAAAAGAAGGAGGTTACTTTTAAGCAGAAAAAAATAAATAAATA